ATATATCCAACTTTCCATCAAAGCTTCAGCTTATAATCTAGAATTTAAAAGTTGGACCAAAGTCCAGAAATCCTTCAAAGAATTGAAAGAAGTAAAACTGTCATCTCTTGCACAAATTATTCACTAACTATAACTTACGGCATTATAAACTATGACATCAGGTTCCAGCCTAGGGTCCCAGTTACCAAGTGCTCCTACTTTGAACTTCTTCTTAGGTGGCAACCGCATGATATCAATCACATCAAAGAGTTCCTTCATGTGCCCTGCTTGTCCAAGAGTGACAGCAATACTATGGTAAGCCACCAAATCAGGATATGTGGACATTTGTTGCTGGAAGAAAAGAAAAGTGCGTTAGGAAAGTAATGCAAACTCCATATTCCAACCTCAATATCAAGAAACGAATATTTCCCAACAAAAGAGCATGATGCATTACCAGCATGGCATGAAATACATTTAGCGCCTCTATGGGTCTCCTTGCCTTTCCAAGTGCATCAAGAGCAGCAGTGTATATGTGGCTGGTGTTGAAGATCCACTCATTAAAGGATACTCAAAGCACACAAAGCCAAGGGCTAGCCAAAAATAAAACTTCACGACCTTCAAGTTCCGTTTCCATATATAAAGAAAACAAATTTTGCAGAGAAATCAAAGCCACATGCATGAAGGATGAAAACATGCACCTTAGTAACGAGAAGAAAAGAAAAAAGGGAGCACATAAAAACAAAGTGCAATGCCATAAAGGTTCCAATTTAGCCTGAAAGTATGACTGGCCATTTCAAACGAGCCAACCGTAACAAAGGTTTTCATTTGCCAGTAATATAAATTAAAATAAGGTTTTCACAAAATCTGAGTTATATGCCCCAGATAATACATCACACAACGTTAACTATAATGTCAAGCACAAGACCTATCGATTTAGAGAAGGATATAAGTACCCTAGCTTATGGGATTTGAAACGTTCACGCCTTTGAAGCCATTCAATGATCTGTATCACCCGCTGCCAGTTTCCTAGTTTTCCCAATCTTTGGATAACCCTCACAATAGAATAATCATTAAATTTTATCTTTGCACTTCTCATCATCTTAGAAAAGATCCATTCAGGAATATTTATATCAGCACCATTCAACCTGTTTGAGAAAATGATCAACGGGGCAGAAAAAGACACAACTTAGTATGATTTAAATAACTAAAAAACACTAGAATCAAATATTTATCAAGTATGAAAGGGCATAAAATGAAAGGAAAAGATGACTACATCACATGAAAACAAAATTTATCCTCAAGGTATCAGTTACAGTGATGGAAGCAAGCGAATGCCCACTCCAGAAGTGTAAGTAGGAAACAATAAATTTAGAATCACAGAAGTTCATCTTTAGGAGACCAGCTTTACTTCTAATTTAATCTTTACGCCAAGAATACTTCAGTGGCAATTGAGACATCCTATTCATGATCGTCAATGCTATTTGCATCATATTTTTATCCCTTTTTCCTTCTTTTCTGCAGCACATGGCTTATACATGTTCCTCATGCACACTGCTTCGATTTCTTAGTTCATGAATGAAAATAATAATGCAATAAAAATCAATAATAAATTAAACTTCTGAGTAAATATTTTCTATTTTTATATATTCCATAAGCAAAGAAGAAGGAAATGACTCCATACAAATTTGCCAGCCTCATGATTCTATCCTCCATTTCCTTGTGTGAAACTTGTGGCTTGTTGACAACACCATTGAACTCTTCAAAAGTCTTAAATGCTACTCTTTCCACCTCCAAGTTGTCATAATCACGACTTTTCTTTCCATTCAAGTCGAGATTTTTCGGTCCATTTTCTTTCCCCACGTTCTCATTTTTTGTGTAGCTTTTCTCGCGTCCATTGTGCAGAACATTGCTGCTAACAACAGTTTTGTTTATGACTGGCATTTTCCCTTTTGGGTTGCAGCATATTTGACTGGTTGTAACGTCCGTTCCTCCTGCTGTCTTTAACGTATGTAATTTATGGCCGACTTCCCCCTCTATGGTGTTCCCACAGTTACTATTCCAATTGAGTGAACCTTTGCTATGGCCTGTCTTTCTTCGTTCCCTTTTAATCAAATTACTGTCAGAATCTGGTTTTGATTTATTTATTCCGTATTCCAACCACCTGTTTTCCATTACCTCTGCCTCCTTTTTCTGCTTCACAGTAATATCAAGCTTGCTTTTGTTCCCGTCATACTCAAGGTCAAATCGTTTAAACCTTCGTCCTCTGAGCTCAATATGACCTACGGAGGAGCTTTCTTTGCCCATGACTGTTTCAACTACTTGTAATGGCCCATTTTTTTCAGCAATTCCTAACTCATTCTTTTTGTTCATGCGCCCTACAAGCTTTCCAAATTTTGCACCTTTTTCAACTCCATCCAACCTTGGTTTCCTCGACATAACCTTTTCCCTCTTCTGTTCTTCAGCACCAGTAGCATGCTCCTTTACCCTAACATTTCTGGAGGAAGTTCTGGCAGACTCCATTTCCTTCAAATAATCATCGAATGATGGCTTAAACTCAAATTCACTTGAAAGTAGACCATCATTAATCAACCCAGAGTTCAAGCCACTCTTCAGCGAAGCACAAACTGGTCCATAATTGAGCTTTTGAGCATGAAAAACATGACCTTTCCCTGCATTTCTCGCGTTTAAAGATGTACCGAGAAAGGGTCTCCCAGATATCGTAAGCCCGGAAGAAAACGAATTTCCATAACAGTGCAAAGCAAAAGCTGAATTTCTACCAATTTCAAAACTAACAACTGCCATTTCTACATCAAACGGAAGGATAGCCAAACTCGGTGTTTCTAAGATTTGGAAAACAAGGAGCAGTGGAGACGAGGACCTCACGAGGCATAAGAAGAAGGGCCCGAGCGTGGCAGGCCGATACGACGAGGATCCATCGGGAAACAAGATGAACCCTGCACAGATATTGTTACCAATAGGTCCAAATAAGGAGTTGTCCACCCGTAAATTTGCACGAAGCCTCAATGCCTGCCATGTAGCACAGTGCCATGAAGTTTGAGGCCTGTGTTAAAATTTTGTCTGTCTTAAAGTGTTAATCCTTAACCATACACTGGTCAAAAAAAAAAATCCTTAACCATACAAAGGTATTAAAATCTAATGAAATGTTATTGATAACATTAAAAGTACTGATGTAGATTCACTAAATGACATTTAACTGAATCTTATATGGATAATAGAATACAACGTTAATGAGGAAAAAAAAACTAAAAAGCTGCATTCTGAGGATTTTTTTTTTTTTCCTTTTTGTTATCTACACAAAATCTAGTTAGATATCATTACTATCACTGTAACATTGTTTATGACACTATTAGATTTTAAATACCATTAAACTAAAGTTTTAACGCGAACTAAATTCCAAAAACTAAAATCATAGATTTAAAATTTAAGAAACTAAAATTAAAATAGGTTCAAATTTTAAGGATTAAAAATTATATTAAACCTTAAAGTTTTTGTGTCATTGGGGGCTTATTTTATTGAAAAAATGCAAATAAATACCTTAAAAGTCAGGAAAAGTTGGGGAAAACACCAAAATGCTCTTATACTTCTCATATCCTCTTCGGCTCTTCCTCCACAACATAACTTTTCTCTCACTCTCTGAATCCCATCCCGTACACAGAACACTAAGGAAAAAAGAGAGAGAGAAAGACCTCAGTTTGTTGTCGATGGTTAGGCTTTTATTGTTTGTGGGTTTTTAAAATAAATACATAACAAAAGGCCGTTTCACATCCTGGTAGTACTATACTATTCTCTAATTTCTCCCTCTAAAAACTCGTCTGAAGCATAAACGAGATCACCTTCTACCTGGCTCGTAGTCAAAACCATCACGTCCTGCTTGTCATCTTCGAGGGCTGGACCTTTTTTCTCTTTTCAATCCTCCATTTATACATTCTTCTTTCTTTTACTTTTATAATCCTTTCCCAAGATAGTAAGATGCAAAGGCTGGCTAATGATTCCTTCGTTAATTACCATTGCTACTATCATATGTGTGAAAGTATATTTGTGAAATTCGGAAGAGGATACTCTCAGCGTCCTCTTCCCTCAGCGTCCCTGAGCGGCGCAATCACAGCCATTAAAATTCATCCAACGCAGATCATATTGTGCCATGTCGTGATGTTATTAAAAATTAGAAATAAATCTGAACTGTAGTGTAAATTTTTTTACTAGATTTCAACTGGGATTATTTTTAGCATGGAATATTCAGTTTTTTTTCACCTGGCTCATTTTAGCCAGAGAATCTATGAGATGCTCAGAGTTCAAACTTATCCAGATAACCATAAAGAATGAAAAAACTTAACAATCAAATATTTATATATAATTTTTTTGGACTTATCCATCTTAGACTGGAAAATTTATCTAAGATCAATCTAATACAGATCAAGGTAGGCAAAACCATAGAGACTGGCAAAACTATATCAAGTATTTTTACTTAATGGCAGAACTTTGCCTCTCTTTGTGGTCTTATCTGACTCAATTTATATTAATTTGGACTCTTAATAAACTTTACAGTTAAAACAAGTAGATCTAAGAAATTAGGTGTTGCACTCAGATTTTTTTAAAAAAAGAATAGTTCTTGTTTTTTTTTTATAAAAAAAGGCAATTTTATAGCATTAATTAGATTTATTTTTAATTTTTAATAGCATGATGATATGGCATATTGTGAGCTCTTAGATCAATCTGATGGTAGATATTGGGACGCTGAGAGACGCTGAGAGAATCCAGACCCGCTCGTTGCGTGCGTGCGTACGCAATGGCCAGCATGGAAAAGTGGGAACCCATCAAGCACCCTAGGCTTCCAGCTATATATATGTTTCTTAATTTAGTGCTCAAATAATCTTCCACTGTGTACTATATGCAATAATAGGAAAGGGAACCTCCGTAACTAATTAGGATATGATTGGATTGATATTGGGTAAAACTAACTTCTAGCCCAACTGATTTTTATAACTGAAATTAGAATAAAAATCAGTTAGGGTATGTTTAGATATGTGCTTTTAAAGAGTCAGTTGAAAAAGTTAAAAATTGTTTGGATGATTAATAGAAAAGTTAGTTTAGTTGTAAAATGATTGCAAAGGATATAGACTTTATTGAATAGTAATATTTGAAATTTTATGTGTTTAATGTGATAATAGTTTTAAAAAAAAATACATAAAATTATTATGATAAAATATAAATAGTTTATTTTTGAAATTATAAAATAAAAATATTTCTTGCTGAAAAAAATTTAAAAACACATTGTAGATAATTAATTAAATATATATAATAGACAAACTTGAATATAAATTAAAATTCATTTGGTCTGAATAAAAGCTTATTATGCTAACAAAAGAGATAAGGTAGAGGGGAAAATATGAGGGTAACTCTGGGATACTCATTTTTAATGATCACCGTTTGAAACTGTAGTTTGAAAAGTCAGATTTTCCTCCATTGAGTCCAATTGAAGTTGAAAGCCAGAAGTTAGTTGGAAAAGTTAACTCAGTCAAACAACGTTTTTTGTCCAACTCAGTTTCACCATTTCTAAGACACTTTTACTGTTGGAAATGATAATCCAAACATACACTTAATGATTAAAATTTGTATATCCTATAAATCTTGTAACGGTTTTGTGATTGGTCCACGTGACAGTTTTAGGTAGTGGTTTGTTTTTTTTATCTAATTGAGATGTGGATGGTTATTAAATGGAGATGAAATAGCCGATTAGATGTCTTGGTATGGATATATAAAAGGTTTGGTGGCACATGCACGGATATATACTATTGGAACTTAAAGGTCTTTTTAGGGGAAAAAAACCACCTTGGAAAATGAGATTTTAAATCAGTTATCGAATAATTCAAGGAACTACTACCTCCGATCTTAATTATAAGATATCATTTATAGTGTATAAACGAGGTCTTATAATTAGGACCAGAGGTAGTATATAATTACTTGCACTCTTTTCAATATTTTTAAAAATGAAGAGCCCATGAGTTACTTTGTAAAGTGATGAAAATGAAATGACTCTAAATCACTTTGTGGAATAATTTAGATTTAGATAACTACTTATTTATTTAACTAAGATTTTAGGTGGAGTAACGATAGCAATTTTAGTTTTTGATTTTATTAGATTTTCTCCCGAAGTTCAGGGGTCACAATTTATGTTTTATTGTTGGCATTTAATTTTTTGGGTAGTGAGAGTAGGCGTTTATGCTTCTTATTTGTTCCTCAGTCCATTGCGTGTGGGGCTGCCATCTTTTAAGTGGCCTAACACGTGCACGTAATTTCATCCTTGGTGCATGCATCTGCTTTGGTTGTTCTATCTCCATTTATTGTTGGCTTTTCCGTTTTTCACGAGTGGGACTTCATCAATGCTTATCTTGGCATTCCTGCTTCCATCCTTTATTACGATTTTGGATTCTATAAAGGTAGGAGTGGGCAGTCTTCGCTTCATGTGTTAACAACTCTTCCTCGCTATATCTGCTCCTGTGAGTGCGGAGAATAATCAGGCATGATTTCTCTTGATCTCATTTTTCCTATTTCTGGTCCCATGTCTAAGGAATTTAGTTTCACATTCTTGACAATTCTTGTGTGCGTCATATTTCCTCTTTTATTCTATTCGCCTTCAACGTGTTGCTGCTACAATGGATAGGGAGAGAATTTTGAGATTTTGATGCAAAATAAATGCAAAGAGAAAAGTTATTGATGACGTCTGGAAGATAGGACAGAAGAGTTCAGGAACTTGTGATCCTTGAGGATTGCACAGGAGCTTCGACTTTGCTTCGTGTAACTTCGCAAGCACTTGTGACTTTGTTTCATTATATTCTCTGTATAGTTTTATTTTGGTTGTGACGTTACTGTGATTTAGTGGATTTTTAGTACTCAAGTAGTTTTTAATGCATGCCTTCATCTAATATTAGATTAAGCTCAAGACCCAGTTTCTATACTCTATCTACTTTTATTTTCTTGGAAAGATATATGGAGGCATGCAATAATTGATGACTGATCATATCACCAACGTAACAAGGCAACCCAAAAAAAAAAAAAGGTAAGCATTCTCATTGTTGCTAATATCATGAGTTATTTATATTCGATGAAAATTGGGTCACATTTTCCATTGTGGAATTCTAATATAGTGTTCCGCGAGCCTGCAACGTCTCCCTTGCAATTTATTTTACATTGAATTCTTAACAACCTCTTTATTTCAAATTAAAAATTCAAATCTCATCAATATTTTCATTTAATATTGTCTCTTTATTTGCATATTAACAATATCTTTATTTGGATTTTGGGTAAAAGTACAAATTTAGCCTTGATCTTACATTCTTATGCACCCGACACTCAATCTTTTTGGTGGTATAATTTTACTCATAATCTTATTTTTTGGGTGCCACAAAAAAATTGCACTAGAAAAATCATGGGTCAAATCCCACCCTTAAAAATAATGGAGGGTACCAGGTGTACTGAGAAATAAGATTAGGGATAAATTTACATATTTATCCATTGATTTCCAACATAAAATAAATGCACATAAAATATTGTTAAGATTGTTGAAATTTTTGATATTGTTAACATTGAAATAATCCTTCTTCATTGAATTAAACTAAGGCTCCGTTTGGGTGACACCCCAAACCATGGTTTGGGAACCCAAACCATGGTTTGGGTGATAAGTCACCCAAACACCCCCTCCAAAAACCAAAATCATGGTTTTGGGTCAAAACCATGGTTTTGACTCCAAAACCATGGTTTTGGAAAAAGCAAAATTTTTTTGCTTTTGGAGAAAAAAGAGAGAGTGTGAGGGCCTATATGATATGTATCTTGTTATTTTTTTTATAAACATATTTTTTATAAATATATTTAATCTTATATTTTATAAATATATATACACATTAATTATTTATTAATTATATTGTCTTATGTATTATTAATTATGTTGGTAAAAAACATATTATTAATAATTTTATTCCTTCAAAT